TTAGTCCTAATAGCTGGTCGTGTAGTCCGACATTTCCGGGCGCGTCCTCCCGTTCCCCATACAGGAAACCAAAGAGTCCTAACCTGTAGTTAACGGTCACCACAACGACATCATATGTAGACAATGCGCTCCCGTTATGCATAAACTCCATGAATATCGACCCGTATATGAAAGCCCCGCCATATATCCAATACATGACTGGTTTTAGTGCCGGTGCCTCAGTTGACTCGTCATTGTTTCCCACATTAGGTGTCCATATGTTTAGTACCAAACAGTCCTCACTGTAGGTTAAGTTCATGAGTGGACCGGGACCTCCTATTACTTGCATACATGTATTTTTCTCTTTTGTGGCGTCAATTATATCCTTCAATACAAATCTTATATTTATAATGTGTTACAAAAAGTTAATTTTATAATTTGTATTACTTTTGGGTGTTTAATAGGCTGCGGTTTAGCGAACCGGAGGTTACCGACCGGTGGTTCGGCATAAGGTATACCCAAAAACTGGTCAACACTTGTGTTCAACACATCTATAGTGAGACCTCTCACTACACCTGATGTCGTGTTCACATCAATACAAATCGTATATTTAGTGTAGAAAATTACAAACAATATCAAACAATTACATTTAATACTAATAAACATTTTTGTTTAAAACTGGTTATTGTATTATTCTTAATTTAAATATAGTAATTATATTTTACTTTTATAAAATATATCACAATTTCTTGTTTTTATACAGATTTGTATGACATTATTATCCACGACAGTAATGCACTGTACTTGGTAATGATATTATCACAGTGTATTGTTTGTATAAGCCATATCATAAGTCTATTTGGTTCATATTAATTTCAATTACTTGTACTGATTATTGAGTACTTTAAGTATTACTTATGAATTGTGTAATTTAAATAACACATTTTATATTTTAGAGTACAAAAAATATTTCAATATTCAGTTTTATAATAATTTTATTTATTTAAAGAAATATAAAATATATAAAATTACAAACTTAAATATAAATGAAAATTTTCTTAAACAAAAATTTGTCTACAATTTAGTATTACCGTGGTTGTTTCAGTAATACTGTATATGAATTCAAGAGGTTTTATTGAACTGGATATTGAATACAGATATGAGTACTCATGAGTTAAATTAAAATCTGAATTACAATTAGTTTATGTTCAAATTGAATACTGTATTCAAAATAAAAGTTTTGTAAACTTACTAATTGCCAGGTGCATTTTAAAGCGCACAATATTTAGGAATAATAAAAATTTCGTAAGAAATAAATAAGTAAGAAATATTTCTTTACTAATTATAATTATAATATGATTTAATGTAATATTTAGTTTTTGTATAATGATTTTATTAAGGAATTATTTACAAATATAACTATAAATTAAAATATATTTAAACTACAATTTGTTTATAATTTAGTATCCGATGTATCAGTAATAATATGCTTTCCATTCATAACACCATTATTGATATTATTATTTTTAATGTCCATATTTTTATCACTTGTCAGTGACTTGTCAGTGGGTACTATCGGTGCAAATACCAGGGCAAACATATTGGTGAATGGACTTTCGATGAGTATGTAAAAAATATACGCCAGTATAATGTCATAAATTAAATCAATCACCAAATGCTCGAACTGTTTCACATAAAATCATAAGAAATATTAAACATGGTTAATTATGTTCATATTGTCCTAGCTACCATATATTTATCGGACATAACGTATGTGTAATGATTGGTGAATATCCGGTGCATAACCACCAGATAGTGGAGGATATAAATGCCAAATGATAGCCGGGCTATGGGTTGAAAGCCATGCCATGAAAGGACCGAGTTCAAAATACCTAAATAATACAATTATTACAGTATAGAAATAATAAAATATTTAAAATATTGTAATAAGTTAAACTTGCCTGCTCTCCCAGTGCAGCATGCAAAATATATCCAGGCAAAACCTAGACTAAAAAACAATTTGCCCAACGAGTGCCATAATAATACACTTAATGCCGGTGCTGAATGATCCAGGCGCCAAAACGTATTATGCCAAAAGTATATGCTAGTGCATACTAATACAGTCAGACACCAGTAAACATTTGTTTGCCTTGCTGTTATTTTTAAATTATTTTTATGTAATACATAACCACATGCTATGCCCACAAAAAAGGCGGTGCAATAATTATTGGGCGTGAAGTGGTACCAAGTATATGATCTGGATACACTGAATAATACCGACTCCAAATCCCATATTTGTAGGTATGACTTGATATTAAATAGTATTTGCGGTGCAATACTGGCAAATATGCTCACGAGTATAGCCCCGGTTATGGCGATTATACCATAAAGTCTTTTACGGTGATATATAATTATAAATACCGGGCCAATAAGGGTTAGTTGTAGTAGTGATGATAGGAACCATGTGGGTGGGTTGCACTGGTAGGTTAATAAGATTTTAAAAATTAGTACTTTTTAATAATTACCTTTAAGTGAAGTACCTTAGAGTTGGCAATAATTAACTGTTCTTTGATATCGTCTCTAAAGTTGTGGACAAAAAATAACATTTTCAACAGATTTCTAGGGTTCTGACAGCCGGGTGTCACCCAACCGACCCCTATATGCCATACGGGACCGTCACCTGTCAGCGGGAATATGTAGAAAAATAGTAGTGCGCCAAACATCAGGATAAAAAACCGGAGCCATCGTTGAAATATAAACATCGGGTAATTGAAACGACCGCCAGATTTGTCTAATTTGCGTAAAACCCCGTACGATAACAATAGTCCACTAAAAGTATTGCATAAAATATATCAGCTTAATACAAGTTTAATATGTTTTGGATTTTTAGTTAATTTTAATTAACAAAACATAAATACCAAGAATAGAGTGGGCAATGCTAAGTAAAATAAAGTAAGTATAGACTAAAAATAAATTGTACATTGTTGTGTAATTCTGTATTATCTCATATTATGTCTAATTTATACATAATATAAATAAAACTTTTATTAATTTGAATTTTAGAAATACTCTATAATATAGATACCAGTATTATCATAAGATACTGTCATAAAACATGTTGGCCACTCAACCCTTGCTAATTATACTTTCAATTTCAGTTTAGCAATCATAAAATAAAATTTATTGTGCTTTTAAACAACACCTTAATGTGAACAAAGCGTCGATAATAAGGGGATTCCTAACGAAAATATATTCATTGTCTTCGTATACTTTAAACATAATTTCGCTGAAAATCCTTTTGAGTCCAATGAGACCCAGGGATGTGGTGTATGTGAACGCGTGGCCCATATGTACATTGATTATGAATAACAGTCGGAATGTGTCCAAAGCCACAAACTTCTTATTATTTTCATTTGTATTGAATAATGATTTTGTATTTCTTATGATTGAAAAACTTGTTAAAAATAAATCATTTCTATTATTACTTCTATTGTGAGGGGTTTCTCGTTGTAATAGTATTTCATAACATGTGCTGAATATTATTAGAAATGTTGAGATCACTAATACTGAGCTATATTTTTAAGAGCAAAAATATTTTAATTAAGTTTCAATGAGATTAATGTCCATACATTGCAAATATCTGATAATTGTCCAAATGTTTGCTTTCAATTTTTGACTGACACTCCGGGCCCACCTCTAGTGGTATACGCGTTATTGGGAACAGTACTAAAAATTATAAAATATTTAGTTACATAATTATTTGAATAAAAATTAAAATATAAAATTTTCAAAAATAATTTTACGTTATCTATAAAGATATAAAATAAAGCAAATAATTTTTAGTTTTATTAACATTTCTATGTTTAAATAGCTTGCCACTGATAACATAACTAAATATTTGAAGTTGTTACATAATTAGCCTTAATATGCCGTAATATAATATATAATAAATATTTAGTTATAAAAGATTTTTCAAATAAAATGCTGATTATATTGACTCACATGTGTTGAGCAAATGCTGCCATTCCTGAGCACTGCATACATGGGGTAAACACATTCCCATCCGATATAGCGTCCCATTTGACAGATTCAGTGCCTCAACAAAACTGCGAACAGTGGACAGTCGTGTCAGTCCATAATGGTCTAAAAGGCCTGAGTATAGCTGCCTATCCTCTCCCATAGTGGACATATCGAGGGATTGGACGGGTGGGAAAGGCATTATAGCCTTAACCATACAATACTGGCCATTGATGACGGGCTTGTTATCTGTTTTGGGGCTATTAATGTTAAGGCATTCCCTGTATTCACCAAAATTTGCTTGAATTCCTTCGGCAAACCCGGAGGTCAGGGGCCGACCCATTGCGTCGATAACTTAAAAATAGATAAAAATATATTTATATAATAAATATTGATTTTATAGCAAACGTCTAAAAATAAAAACAGTAAATATTTTCAAGAATTTAATTGAAAATAAATTGATTTTATTGAATAACTCAATAAATATGTGGATTATTGAGGCAAACTATGTTGATATACAGTATATGTTGATATTGAACTGTAATCACTATCAATCATTTCATAGTAACTGTCAATTTATTAATTTTTCAATCGAAACAAGTTTTTAAATCTTTATTAAAAATTAATTCAATATAAATAATTCATTACCCTGTATCATTGATAACTAATGCAGCTATAATTTAATGCCCAAAAGTTGATACTATAACACTAACCCTTTAGTCTCTAACTATTTTTTGACTTTTTTTTTATTAAAATGTACTTATAATATTAATTTCTCTCTCTCTCTCTCTCTCTCTCTCTCTTAAAACGTCTATT